CTCCGAGCCTGACCCCCTGCCGCGCTGGGGCGAGGGGTCCGAGCCCAGCCCGACCCCCCCAAAACACCCCCACCAGTGCCCTCTGCACCCCCACACACCCCGCCCCATCCGCCCCCTGTCCTCTGCATCCCCCCCAAAACACCCCCACCCCTGCCCTCTGCACCCCCAAACACCCCGCCCCATCCACCCCGTCCTCTGCATCCCCCCAAAAACACCCCCACCCCTGCCCTCTGCACCCCCAAAGACCCCCGCCCCATCCACCCCATCCTCTGCATCCCCCACCCCCTGGACCTCCAAACACCCCCACCCCATCTACCCCATCCTCTGCACCCCCCACCCTCCCCTCTGCACCCCCTCCCCTCTGTGCCCCAAACACCCCTGCCCTATCTGCCCAGACCACACAGCCCCGCCCTCTGCACCCCCACACCAACCAACTACCCCTACCCCCAAACTACCCCTACCCATTAACTACCCACCCCCAACTCATCCACTCACCCCACCCTCTACACCCCAAACACCCCACCCCATCTACACCCCCCCACTTTCTGCGTTCTCCACACCCGACCCCCCCTACCCAACTACCCACCCCACATACCCCCACCCTCTGCATCCCACCCCCGCACACCACATCTGCACACTCACACACCCCAATACAGCCCCCCTCCCCAGCACAAACTGCTCCCCCCCACTCCAGACACCCATCAACACAACCCTATCAAGCCCCCCAAACACCCTCCCTGCACACAGCACTCACCCCAGCCCCCCAATCTACCCCCAGCAGGATCCCCCACTCCTCACCTCATCTGCCCCCCAAGCCTCCCATCTCAGCCCCCCCACTGGACCCCCCCTCCCCACACAGAGTCAGTCAGTCGGGGGGGCAGGAGCGGGCGCTTGGCAGCACATAACTTCCCTCTCTAAGCCGTGAGAATAGATCCTACTGCCCCTGCCCCACCTACTTGCTAACCCTTGATGTGGTCGTTGTTTGATCCGGATTGTGAGCTCTGTGCAGCTGGGCCACTCCCAGCCCACGGGGGCCCTGCGCTGCCAGGGCTGGGTGGCACCTGCACAATGGGGGCCCTGAGCGCATCAGAACAGCCAGACCGGGTCAGAGCAAGGGTCCGTCTAGCCCAGTGTCCTGTCCGACCGTGGCCACTGCCAGGCGCCCCAGAGGGGATGAACAGAACAGGGAATCATCAAGTGATCCATCCCCAGGTTCTGGCACACAGAGGCTAGGGACACCGTCCCTGCCCAGCCTGGCTCATAGCCATTGATCGACCTGTCCTCCAGGAACTTACTTCGCTCTTTTATCTCAGTTGGGGTCCAGGCAGCACCCGGCGTGCCGGAGCCCTGATCTCGGTTGGGGTCCGGGCAGCGCCGGGTGCGATGGGGCCCTGATCTCAGTTGGGGTCTGGACAGCGCCCGGCCCGACAGGGCCCTGATCTCAGCTAGGATCTCCAGGGGCAACCATAACACAAACAGGGCCGCCCAGAGGATTCAGGGGGTCTGGGGCAAAGCGGGGGAGCTGCGGCGCTTGTACTCACCTGGCAGCGGTCCGGGTCTTCGGCGGCATTTCGGCGTTGGGGGGGCCCTTCAGTCGCTCCATGTCTTCGGCAGCACTGAAGGACCCGCCGCCGAAATGCCGCCGAAGACCCGGACCGCCGCCAGGCCAGGGCTTGCGGGGCCCCTGCAGGGCCCGGGGCAAATTGCCCCACTTGCCCCCCCTCTGGGCGGCCCTGAGCACAAATAACCCAACTCATTCCGGTTTGCAAAGCAGCCAGTGGTAATTTCAGGCCAGCGGGCTGAGGTGTTCCTGGCAGCAGCTAATCACCCCATGTGAGCGCTTAGAGCCGCCCAGCACTGGGCCTGTCTCCGTTGATTCCAGGGAGGGAGGCGTAAGGAGATTAGCTCCATGCAAAGCCCCACTGCACCTGGGAGCCTGCCGTCGGCTGGGCTTCATCGCACACAGAGGGGCGCTGAGGGGAGGAAATGAATTCGTCCACTGGTGTAGGCCCTTGTGAGGGACGGACCCCCTGCCGCTTCCCTGCAGTGCGGGCTGTGAGGGGCCCCAAACTGCAGGCAGGAAAGGTCCCTGACCCCGTGTGTGCAATGCCCCGGGCTGCACGGGCCACGTCCACTCAGACACACAGACGTTCCCGTTCCATAGCAGTGACTAACCCGGCTTCCACCCGGGCGCTGGAGCAGGTGGCGGCGAGGAAAAGAAAATAAAGCGAGTAGCCTGTGGGCTCCAGCGTAGAGAACGCAGGGATGGGCCCCAGGGACGGCAGCGCCGCGGGACGCTCACCGGCACAGGGCATCGGGACAGGGACAAGAACGGGATGGGGAACATCTCAGTGCGCCCCTGGGAAGGCTGCGTCCATGTGTATATATATCTCCTGTCTAGGGCTCACCCTGGTCTCCTCGGTTGCTGCCCCCACAGCAGGAAACAATCCAGCAGAGGCAAGGCCCCGCGGCTCCCACCAGGCACGCCGAGGACCAGACGGAATTCCTGCAAGCCAAGTGTCACGGAGTATTGGGGGACTCAGGGCCCTGCACCCCCGGCTTCCTGCGATTCACCATGACTCTCAGCCAGCCAGTAAAGCAGAAGGTTTATTTGGATGACAGGAATACAGTCCAAGACAGGTCTTGCAGGCACAGACAACAGGGACCCCCTCAGTTAGGTCCATCTTGGGGTCCCAGGGCATCCCAGCCCAGCCCCCCTTGGGAGGTCAGAGCCATCTCTGCCTCCCAGCCATCTCTCCAGCCTGCTTCCAGCACTCTGGCTTCAGCGACCCCTCCCACAGCCTTTGTTCAGTTTCCCGGGCCCCGGAGTCACCTGGCCTTCAACCCCCTCCTGGGTTCTCATGTTACAAGCTCAGGTATGTTCCCTTGGGCCGGCTCCCATCCCCCGATGCAGACCATCCTAGTCACACTCCCCTGTCAGCATTCACACACCACAGTAAGAACAGTCCCAGTTCGTCACACCAAGCCAGGGCTGAAATCACTCGCGCTGCTCCCACGTGCCGCCCAGGTTACTGTGCGGTCAGTGCCGGTCCCTGCAGAGTTAATCTCAGACTGCCCTGAGCCGCCCAGGGAGCAGGCTGGGGCCCTGGACCGGCGAGTGCTTTGGAGCGGGCCAGGCGTACTCTGACCGTGGCAAAGCATCACTCGGCACCAGGTACTGCAGGAGGGCGGCTGGGTCTGCGCTGCAGAGGCCGGCTGCCCCTAATGCAGCCCGGAGGAGGGTGGGAGGGTGGCAGAAGGTGGATTTGAATGGAGCCTGCAGGAGGGACCGGGCCCATTAACTCACGGGCTGATGGCTGGGCACGCAGCAGGCCCTGACGGGGTGCTGTACGGAGCCAGCCGCCCCCCAGAATCCAGCCAGGGGGCTTTCACCCTGCGCTTCGCAGAGCGGGAGCCCCTGGCGCGAGGCCAGGCGTGCCGGCTCCCAGCAGAGCTCCAGGCCCCTCTCCCTGCCCCAGCCCACCAACATTTTTTCTCCACTTGCAACCAGAACGTTGGTTGAAACTTTTCGCCCAGCATGGACGGGGCGGGGGGGCCAGGGCCTTTTGCCAGCGCATTTTCTAGGCTGATGAGCAATTTCAGTGCCACGCTGGGGGCTGCTTTGTGTGTCTTCCTAAGGCAAGACCTCCTGCCAGGGGCTTTGCTTTCCCGACCCCAGGCCCAGCTGTCCGCCCAGCAGGCTTCCTACGCATCACAGCTCAGCTGCCTTCAGAATAAAACCGTAACAAGCTGTTGGGAAGAGCCGGGTCCTGTGCCCGCTGTGCTTGGATCTCACAGGCAGCCAGACGGTCCCAGGGCCCCCTCGACAGATGCCGAACTGGTGAAATATTCATGGGGCGGCTGCCTCGTAACAGATACAAGGGGAACTCGTTAATCAAGCCCAGAGTCGGCCTTCGAGCTAGAAATCTCTTAATGGGGATTAAAGTCCCAATCACAGCGCAGGGCCCGGTGGTTATGTTCAGAGATAATCCGGCTTTATTTTGCTTTTTGAAACATTAAAAGCAGCCCCCCCCCCGCCCATTGTTTCATAAACCGGAGGCACGTGCTGCAGAGCAGCTTACGGGCTGCCGGCGATCTCGGCCTCCCAAGCGCCAGCCCCTGCCCCTGCCCCTGCCCCGCAGGGCCGCACAAGCGCAGGAGCAGATCCCACGCGCCGTGCCCCAGGATGCTGGCACAATGTAGGACACCATAGCCGGGAGCTTCAAGCCAGGGGGCAGGTTAGTAAGCACCAGGTGCGACATCCATACCTGCCCTGCAGCTCCCAGCAGCCCCAGCTCAGCTCCACGCAGCAGAGCGATTTGGTTCCCAGCCCTGCAAACCAAGGGCCTGTCAGCGCCGTGTGGGCCCCAGGATAAAGGGGTGGTTCCCCCATGTCTTTGGCCTCCCTTCTGCAGCCACCACCTTCCACCCCAGAGGTGGCTGCATTCCCAGGGTGCTGCAGAGGCAGAGCCTGGGGCAAAAGGCACAAGCAGAACGCCTGGTAATAAATGTGTCAGGAAGGATCACAGTCACGCAGCCGCGGGAGAGGAGAGACTCCAGCTTCCTCTGCAGCCAGCCAGCCCTCGTGCTGCTCCGCTGACGGAGGAAGTAGGGTGCACTGGTCGGAGCATTCGCCGGGGTTCAATTCCTGGCTCTGCCCCAGAGGCTCCGGGCCCCTCTGAGCCGCAGCCCCCAAGCGGTGCCATGGGGAGACCAGCCCTGCGCTGCCCCGCTGCCAGCAGCGCAGACTCTGGGGAAGGGGCAGCTGCTGCCCTTTAGCGATCAGCCCTGATCTCACCAGCCGCCTCAACCTCTTCAACCCCCTGCCCTGGGCAAACCTCCTTCCCCACCTGGGGGCACAGGGCAGCCAGCCCTGCTTCTCCCCACGCCAGGGGCTGGGTCTCCAAACAGCCAGCACCTGGCGCCAAGCTGGGCGGTGAACTTGACGCTGGCGCCATCTGGTGGACGAGCCGCTCCCCGACAGGGCCATGCTTGGCGCAGCATCGCCAGCAGGTCGGGCCCCGAACACAGGGAGCTGGCAGGTCTCAGGGGTGGGATCAGGCAACTTCTCCACTCTGCCCCGTGCCCTTGGGCTGCAGGCGGGGGCCCGCGGCTCCCCACAGCGCGCTCTGTGACGGGGAGGCCACGCAGGATGCAGCGCGCCAACAGGGCCCCCCCGCCTGCGGTAGCACCATGAAACGCTGTGCATGCCTCCCCCCAGCTCTGCGGGCAGTCTCTGCCAGACAGGGAGCTGCCCCACGGGACCTCCCCAGCCTCCTGCCCCACACCAGGGACCCTCCCTGCCCCCCTGCGAGCGGCAGCACAAGCAGAGCCCGAGCGAGGGCACGCTGGGCCAACGGCACCGCAGGGCTGGCCGGCCTCACGAGACGACTCTTCTCTGGATGAAGTGCAGCAGACGCTTCTCCCTCAGGACTCTGGCCATGGGGCCCGGGGAGCCCGCAGCATCCCGCAGCTCCCTGAAGGCCCCGGCCGCCACCAAGTGCAGCCGCACCGGCCCAATGCTGCCCTTTAAGCGGAAGGTTTTGTAGACCGGAAAATCCTCCTGGAGACACTGATCCAGCTGCAGGAAGAGAGAGGGGTGCAGCTGAGCTCCGGCCCCGGGAGCCGAGGTTCGCGTCAGACCCTCCACCTCACACGTGCCCCAAAGCTCCTTCTAACCCCACAGGTCGCCAGCCTGGCCTGGCTAGGCCCGGCAAGCCCAGGCGCCTCTGCCCACAGTGGCCGTCCCAGCTGCGGCCGGGGGAAGGTGCCAGATGTCCTGCAGTGCCGGGACACTGTTAGCAGGAGGGGCTCTCCCCGATCCATGTTTTCTCCTCTCATTTGCATCTGGAGGGTCTCGTTACCCCTGGCAACATCCAGGCCCCTTTGAAATCCAGCTCTGCTCCCAGCCTCGGTCAGACCTTGTGGCGAGGAGTTCCACTGGCCAAGCGTCTGGCTCTTCTGCTGTACCAAGCGCCCCCCTGCGCCGTGAGGGTGACGGTGCCTGTCTCTGCCCCAGACATTGCTGTGTGCACCCTTGTGCGCTCCCAGCCCGGGAGCGCACTAGAAGCCAAGGCCCTGTCCCCAGCAGCGTAGCTGGAACCGCTCCACGTCCAGGTCCGGCTCTGCAGCCAGCCGACCTGGGCACCTGATCCGAGAGTGCTGCCACCTAGTGGCCAACTCCAGCCATGGCAGCACAGACCTCCCCGGGGGAAAACCCCAGGCCAGGCGGGGGCACCTGTGCGGCGCTTTTGGGGCCAGAGCCCCGTGCTGGGAGCAGCCCCGAGCTGGCAGGATCGCTCCCTCCTGCAGGCTGGAGGAGGAAGGGCTCCACCCTCCAAAGCCTTCCAGGGGCAGGGGGACACGCACCTGCCCATGGCACCAACTGCCCCTGCTCAGCCCTGCCCCGTGCCGCTGCTTCCCCAAGCCGCTCACCTTATAGCGCTGCACCTCCGACAGATCACGCACGCCCCGCAGCTCCACGAACACCTGGTAATGGGGGGCGCAGACCCCGGAGGAGGCACCTGGGGGGCAGCACGGACCCACGTTAACCCACCCAGCTGGAAGGGCAGGAGAGACACCCCACACTGGGAGCTGAGGGATGGGGGTGGAAAAACCCTGTGGCGGGGCAGGGACCCAGAGCACCCTGGGGCAGCACCTGGCTTGACAGGCACAGAGCCGCTCCCAGGTGTCATCAAACCGCTTCCTCCTCAGCGGAGCACTGGGATCCGGACCTCACGTGGGGATCCAATGGGCTTCACCCAGCCTAGCCGGGCCACTCCACAACACCAAGGCTAGTGCCAGGAACAGCCCCGGGCAGCTCGGCCCCCTCCTGCCCAGCCGTCTCGCCAGCCCCCTGTGACGAAGTGGGGCTGGTCTTAATGTTTCCTCTGAATACAGTGTAGGTGCCTCAGTTTCCCCTATGCCTTTCTTAAGTCTCCTAGCAACAAGTGGCTGGGGCCCTTCCCCCCTGCAAGGAAATAGCTAAAGGAGAACAAAGAGATCAGGTGACCTCCTGGCCCGGGAAAGAGACAAAGCCCAGAGAAGGAGGGGCTGGAGGGGGTTTCAGTTTGGAGCTGGCTGGGGACGGGGAGTGAGTGCAGATGGGGGTGTCTGGCTCGCTGGGCCCCAGGATCGATCCGGCCGAGGGGTCCCATTCGCTGGACCGACAAGCTCTGTTTTAGACCCTGTTCCTGTCATCGAATAAACCTCTGTGTTACTGGCTGGCTGAGAGTCACGTCTGACTGCGAAGTGGGGGGTTCAGGACCCTCTGGCTTCCCCAGGACGCTGCCGGGGCAGACTCACTGTGAGAAGCGCACGGAGGGGCATATGCTGAATGCTCCAAGGGCAGACCCAGGAGGTGAAGCCGTGTGAGCTTCTTGCCCTGAAGACAGTCTGCTCCGAGGGAGAGGAGACTCCCCAGAGTCCTGACTGGCTTTGTGGGGAGCAGTTCCAGAGCATCGCCCGGGGACTCCGTGACACCCCCACAACCAGGCCCAGCTGAGCCAGGCTGGGGGCACGGCCAGCCAGGCCTGAGCACAGTCAGGGTCAGGCAAACCCAGGGGTGCTGAAAGGAGCAGCAGCCCCGGAGGCAGAGCCAGTGGGGCAGAGGGGGGCCAGGCCGTCTCAAGCCAGGAGTCCAGGGCGTACAGGGCCCTTGGCCAGGCCATGCCAGCATGGGGCTGGGTACCGGGAGCGACACTTACCCAGAAGGCTGCTCTCTGCGCAGACGTAATCGACCAGCCGGGCTCCCGGCCACATGGCCACGGCGCGGCGCAGGCTCTGGTAGAAGCGCTCCTCGGGGACGCCTTCCCCACGCACGCTCAGGGTCTGGCTCAGCCTGGGGGAGCCAAGGGCAGGGGGGGGGGGAGGGTGGGAATCAGGTGACTCCACCTGTGCCAGCAGGGGGCAGTGCCATGGCCTCAGACTCTCTGGCCAGAACAGCCCCACCCCCGCCCTCAAAGCACTGGGGAGGGGAGCCCCCACCCCACTTCAGCCTCCCCCCAAAGCACCCTGCAGGGGCAGCTCCAGCTGGTCCCCAGCGTTCCCCAGGCAGCAGCCGAGTGAGTGGGGAGCCAGCAGGGGGGGGGGGTGGAGCTGACTCTCCCCACCTGCGCACGAGCCCCACCACGGGGCACTGGTTGTGGAATTCAGCCACCTTCAGCACCTCCCCGACGCGGCACCTAACGGACAAAGGGGGAGAGAGAACATGAGACACGGCCGTATCCCCCCGCAACTGGCCCCATTCCATCGCGGCCTCCCATGAACAGCAGGGGGCATGGGGCATACCGGGGTGGGGGAGGGGGGCAGATGCTGAGAGGTGGGGGGCGGGGGGCACGGGGTGTACGGGACTGGTGGGGGGTGTACGGGGTGGTGGTGGAGCATAGAGGACTGGTGGGAGACGCAGGGCGTATGGGGGTGGCGGAGTAGAGGGGACTGGTGCGGGGCACAGGGCGTGTGGGGGTGGCGGAGCAGCGGGGACTGGTGCGGGGCACAAGGCGTATGGGGGTGGCGGAGCAGAGGGGACTGGTGCGGGGCACAGGGCGTGTGGGGGTGGCGGAGCAGCGGGGACTGGTGCGGGGCACAAGGCGTATGGGGGTGGCGGAGCAGAGGGGACTGGTGCGGGGCACAGGGCGTGTGGGGGTGGCGGAGCAGCGGGGACTGG